AAAAGGAGCGTTGTAGCCGACGACCACTTGCCCTCACCTGCTGGGGGTGTGCCGGGGTCCACCTGGAGCGCGCTAAGGTACCAGAGGTTGCAGGAATCCGTGGCGTTGTACTGGCGGGCCATCAAAAACTGGCGCACCTCCTCCACTCTTCCCAGCATCCAGTTGATCATCTCCAACCGGTCTGTTGGTGGCATCTCCTGCGGCCAACCCGTTGTGACCACCATCAAGCCACACTCCCTTTTTTGCTGTTGACGATTCTCAGAGCAAAGCCACTGAAGTGAATCCTGCTGGCGGAGTAGCCTATCATCCAGGGTAGCGAGGACGGACTCCATCTGGGTCACCAGGTTGTACATTTCGGGGCGAATCACAGAAACGTGATAATCCCGAATCGTTTCCAGCACTTGGGCTCTCGTCGTCAGCGGTGTAGCCAAGTACTGGGCCATCTGAGCCGAGTCGTTGATGTCCACACCACGCTGTCCAGCTGTGACCTGGTAGGCCGCCTCGGTGGTCATGGTAATCGGCTGAAAAAGCCTCGGCTGAGTAGCCGCCGTTCCGGTTGCGGGCTCTGCCGCTGTCATATCTGCGTCCTGCTCGACCTGCGGTGTAGCCAAGGAGGAAACCGCCGTGGAAGGTGGTCCTCTCTTGTGGCGCGTCTCGAACCAAAGCCTCTGTTGGGCGGCGTACACCTCGGCTCCAGTCATGGAGCGCTGCTGTTCATAGGTCTGGGTGGCCACGGCTATCTCCTGCTCCATCTCCGTGGTGCGCTGCTTGCCTTTGCCCGCCATTGCTTTCGGAGCGAAAGGCGGTGTACTCCAGTGCTCAGGCGCACTAGAGATATCTGGCGAAAAAAGGGCCCTAGTCGACCCTAAAATGCAAAGTGAAAACCATGAAAGCATCTTCCAAGTGAAACCGCAAAAACGCACATGCAACATGCACTCGCTGCAAGCCAGACGCCTTTCACTTCTTTTAGGGTTTCGAAGAAGCTGAAACTCGGATCCGTTCACGTTTATCTTGATGATTGCGTGATGTTCTGTCAACACTTCAAAGGAGACAGCCGGCCCCCAATTGCAAAGTTTGATATGACACAGGCTTGGGAAGCAGAACTCCGGGAGGTTGCAGGCAAGTTTAGGGGTTGTAGGGTCATTAAACCCTGATCTTTAATCTCTCTCCGGAAACGAAGTGGCAGCCACGTGAAACACAAGCATCGGCGTTGCTGAATCTCACCGGGTGAGAAAAGGGGCTCATTAAAGTTTCTTCAAGAAGCATCTTTGAGCAGAAAACTCCCCGAATTTCGTTAATAGATATTAACTCTTAAGATTCGCGCGCTCAAAGTTAGATAAGGCATTTCTGAAATATTTCAAGAGATTTGCTCGCATCGTGATTTTTGATTCATAAGACCTTGTATTCGACACGCATACGAAAGGTGGCCATGGTGTCATCTTGAGCCATTACCAGCACCAGCTTTTGCAGGGACTTGAAATTCTCCTTGTAAGTGGCGTTCTCCTGCGCTGCAAGTTTTTGGCAGCGACCTTTTCTGCGTCAGGGCTGCGATTGATAGGCCCTGCCCCTCCGCCAACCCGTCCTGGCCCTTGACCTGCACATTTCACGGTCGAAAGCAGGATCGGTTTGGAGGCTGTTGTGTGTCGGCAGTTCCATCTGCACTGTGATCAGCTGTACAACGTGTGCCGCACTGCGTTAACCCCATAATCCCGCCTTGAGAGTCACGCAGCTCAAATCTACGTCGGATGACCAAGCACCAGTGGCAGCAGGCCTCATTGTTGATGAAAGGCAGGAAGTGGGCGTGCGCAAGATAATCGTCAAGGTTCGCTGCATCTCGGTAGTAGTTCGCTTGGGCCAGGTGGTTTTGCACCTGTGCTTGGCCGGCCAAGGCTACAAGTGCCCCAGAGCCTTGAAAGCCCGAAATCACTTATTTTCGGCCTTTTCTGAATGTCCTGCAAGGTTCCCAAAACCCTGCCGAGTCCATGGAGGACTCAGGCCACCCTGAAATTCTGCTGGTCTGTGCTTCCCCTGCCAGGCGCTTCAGCTGCTCTTGCAGCGAAGCTGAAACAACGAAGTTGATCCTTCTAAGTATCTGTTCGAGAACTGGCAGAGCGAGCAACTCAGAAAGCTCAGCAGAGCAAGCGCTT